ATCCGTCACGAAAAAGGAGCTTTTCGGAACGCTCTTCAAACAGGAGGAACTTTAAAACGCCGGTTTCGCGTTTTAGTGTGGACGAAAAACGTTTTGAAAACGGAGCTTTTCGAAAACGATGACTTCACAATAATCATGTGATTTCCCTGCCAAAGTTTTCCCCTCCGGTGATTGTTGCCTTCTCAAATCAGCCGTAGAGTGGACGGAAAACCTTTGAAGAGAAAAGCCGGAGTAATTGCAGGAGAGGTTTTTCCTCTTGGAGGCTGTTACGCACGTCCTCGTTCCGAGGGTCTCTTATCGTCCGGGGCCTCTCCCGCTCCAGGGGACCGGAAGATGAGAGACCCTGGGAACGAAGTTGTGTGGCGCACAGCTACAATGGAAATGAGGGCGTTTTTTCTCAGGGTCTGCTTAAGATATGAAGAGGGATAAGAGTCTGATCTCCTCGTGGAACATTAATAAAAGACCCTTGTTCACTTCTTCCAAGAGAAAATGAGGCGACAACCTGTCCACAATGAACCGAGCTTGATCATTGCTATTGTCTTCATGTATACAACACAAAAGATAACATCAACAGAAAGATAGATTAGGACAAAAATTGCATGTAAGAGTAAACTTACCATATAACTGTTGAATTCCCAGAATATCATCTCGATGAAGCTCCAGTCCCGGATGATAACCACTGTAAATCGGGTACATTATGGCCCNTGGACGAAAAACGTTTTGAAAACGGAGCTTTTCGAAAACGATGACTTCACAATAATCATGTGATTTCCCTGCCGGTGATTGTTGCCTTTTGAAATTTCTCAGCCGTAGAGTGGACGGAAAACCTTTGAAGAGAAAAGCCGGAGTAATTGCAGGAGAGATTTTTCCCCTTGAAGACTGTTACGCACAACCTTGTTCCGAGGGTCTCTTATCATCCGGGACTTCTCCCGCTCCAGGGGACCGGAAGATGAGAGACCCTGGGAACCAAGTTGTGTGGCGCACAGTTACAACGGAAGTGAGGGCGTTTGTTTCTCAGGGTCTGCTTAAAATGTGAAGAGGGACGAGAGTCTGATTTCCTCGTGGAACATTAAAAAAAGAAACCATAAACTGCAAGGGACCGCACACGATAAACACTGCCAACGTAGGATCTACAACAGATCTGATCAGCCAAAAAATGTATGAAGACAAGCAATAAACTGCAAGGCTGATACTGATTTAAAAAAGACCCTTGTTCACTTCTTCCAAGAGAAAATGAGGCGACAACCTGTCCACAATGAGCCGAGCTTGATCATTGCTATTGTCTTCATGTATAGAACACAAAAGATAACATCAACAGAAGGACAGATTAGGACAAAAATTGCATGTGAGAGTTAACTTACCATATAACTGTTGAATTCCCAGAATATCATCTCGATGAAGCTCCAGTCCCGGATGATAACCAC